TGGAGCCTGATATGTGCTGTGGGGAAGAAGCAGCTGCAGCAGTCAGAGAGCTTCAGCTCATTCTTCAAACACTTGGGAGCAGCCAGGCAGTCATGGCAGGTACAGAAGGGGGAAGGGCATGTTCCCTTGTCACCAGTAATTCTCTGCATTTGCAGGAGTTTTGCAGCTTCTGGTTATTTTGCTCTGTGGTTGCTTATAATGCATAGCCTTTTCTAGCTGTTGTTTTTACAGTCCTCAGAGCCTGTCCTAATGTCTGCCATGCTTCAGGTGTCCTCATGGGCCTGCCTTTGTTTGCAGAGCTTTGCAGTGCTAGATTTTATATTGCCTTACACAATAATTTTACAGGGTAAACCTAGACAGGAAGGAATGTCCCCAGGGTTCTTGTGGTTTTTCTCCCTGTCTGTCCTCATCTTGCTTGCCACAGCACTGCAGCACAGAAGATCTGTAGTAAGGATTAGTTTTAGAATATGGAAGTTATGGGACAAAGTAGTGGGAGCATAGATCATCTTGTAAGTTGTGTGTCAGGTCTCAGCTAGTCATAAACTTGCGCTGGTGTCATCAGTGAGATGGAGTAAATGACAGCGCATAGCAGATATATGCCAGGGTTAATTTAAGAACCAATGAGATTGCAGCTTTTACCCTACTTGATCATTTCACACACTCACTCTGTCCCTCCCTTCCCTCCAGCATTATGTTCACTAGGTCTCAACTTCTCTTCCCACTAGGGAGATCACTGCTGGTCTGGGGAGGTGGGCCAGAAAATTGTGTTGGTTCATGCTGTGCAGCAGGCTTGCAGATACCAGTCTCGGGTGTTAGAGGCCAAGGTCCCTAGGCATCCCCCGGCATTTGTCTCCTTGCAGCTCTCTGATCTTCAGGATCCTCTCCCACCTCCAGGATCTCTCTAGCCAAGATCACTACTATCTTTCTGAGACCACTTCCTCTTTTGGGAACCCCTGCTTTTGGCACCAGCTCTTCTTTCTGGAACCCTAAGGCCCCAATTTTTGCAATAGGTGTTGTGCAGAAGGACAGCGTGTGATCAGCCTCCTAACTGGTGATTCTGTCTCATGTATCTCTATTAATTGGAGGATCCAGGTCATGCCATTTTTGCTTAGTCCTAATGTTATCAAAATTTACAGCCAGCCCATGGTTACAACTAGCAAATAGCAGGCTTCTGCTTGAGACTTTAAAAGTACAGTTTTGGGCATTCATCCCCTCCACATATACACCCAATTATCAGCTGTCTATCAGTGTTCACAATGTAAGCTGTATTTTTGCCTGTGGCAGTTGGCCTCACTGTTCTGGCAACAAATTCAGGCCATAGTATAAATGGATGCATCTCCTAGAGAACTGAGTCAGAGTGGTGCATGTGTCACCCAGTAAATGGGATCCAATAAATGTTGGCTAGTGATGCAAATCTAATTTAATATAGGGGGAAATAATAACTGCTAGACATTATATATGTCTCTGAATCTTTTCTCACACTAGCGTTACACATGTCAAATGGGCAACAGTTGTTAATAGTAAGCAGCCAGTTTGCATGCTTCTTCAAAGGCCTTCGTGGACATACATATATACCATCATTTATCACTACTGAATTTGGCCCTAAGATTGCCATTGGAATTGCGCTATGATATCTTTTATTGCAGTGAGATTTTTGAATTTAGAGGAGAATTCTAGTGTTGGGAATATTTTTCCTGCAGTATAGTTGGCTTTAAAAGTATTTGGATTATTTTTTTCAAGGTGGTGTTTTTAAGGGCTTTCTACTGTGGTTTTCCCTCATCATAATTACTTGCTTTCAAATAAGGGCTTTACATTCTCATATTTTACCTTCGTTCTACTTGTGTGTTCAGTGAAGACAAGTGCCCAGTTTTATCAGGTGTTATTTCATTAACAACAAACAGATGAAAAGATTATTTCATTGCAAAGTGAAAGGAAAAGAAGCTGGGCTTAAAGTGGGCTTACAAGAAAAAAGCTTTTTTAAGAACATTTAGAGCCTGGCTCTCCTTTCCCTTATGCCTGATTAACTTCATTGTCTTGTCACATTGACACCTACATCCAAGTAGAAGCAGGTCATGTCTCAAAATGAAGCAAGAGCAGGAGAGACTATTCCTTTTTTGGAACAAGTACTCATTTCACCCCAAAGAGGGAGCACATGCAAAACACTTCTCCTGAAAGAGACGTTGGGTCATTCCAGCACCTTTGTCCTTCATTTGCATGTCTGGCAAGACTCTCTATGAAGACAGAGGAAATTAGTGTGCTATCATCCAGCCTACTTTTACAAAGTGTACCAAGGCCTCTCTAGTCAATTTACATCCATTGACCGGAATGGATTCTGAAGCTGTAGACGTCTTCACAGGTTCACATCTTCTCTGAGCTATTTTGTGCTGTTTAATAATGCTACTGTATCTGAACAGTAAGTGTTTGTTTCTTTTTATCTGTATTTGAAATTAAAAAAAAAAAAAGGCTATAGTGTTCACTGGGCAATATGGGGAAAATGATGTTTCTTTTTAATAGAACCTCTCCTGTTTGTTTATTCTCACCAGTTGAATAACTGTGGCAAGCCTTTTCTTCTCAGAAGGTATGTCTTTAGAGGGACAAAAATTAGAAAGATACAATTACGAGTTACTTGTGGTTGAGTCACTGAAGATATCTAAGGACATTATTCCATTTTGGACTAAAAGTGCAGGATGCTTTTATATTTAACTTAGTATTCAGTTTCAGTTTTTGGCAGCCAGGGAAATTTGGGGTGGGGGGAGATTGCAGTTTCTTGAAGGAGAGGAAGAAAATGACAAAAAAATCCACTACTTCTCACATTTTGTCCTTGAGCTGTGAATTTCCAAGAACACTTTAGTAAATCTGTTCAACATAACTGTAAGTTCTTGTGTTCCATGCTAGGGTAGTATATATCCATCAAATTGTAATTCCAAAAGGTATTTTTATGCTGTTTTAGATGAATGGAAGCTCACAATCCACTATTTTAAATTGCTTGTCTAATTCTGCCCTTTATTTAAGAGCTGTGAATCAGAAGCTTTTTTCACTATATGGCTTAGAGGATCTGTGCTGCACTGCACTATGCAGTTTTTTCTGACAGGAATTATGAGCAATAATTTTCTTTAAAAAGTAGTATTCTCAGAAAATTTTGAATGTTTGGAGGCAGAGTCTTGAGATGGAATCACAAACAGAACGCTATGATGAGGTGGTTGTTACTTCTTTCTGAACATATGGAAGTCTGCTATTAATGCTCTGCACATAACATGCAGTTTATTAATGCATGCCAAGGTTTTTACTCTAGTTTACAGGGCAGACTATTCTGTTGATGAAGTTTCCTTTTACAGAGGGTCAGCTGAGAGTGGATGCCAATGTTTCTGTGCATCACCCTGGAGAGCATTATGGAGTGAGGACTGAAGTGAAGAATATCAATAGCCTACGATTCCTGGCAAAAGCAGTAGGTAAATGATGGTTGCTTCATTACAGGAGCGCTGTAGATATTTTATGTAGTCTGAGATGAAATTTGTCAGGCTCCTGAGTACGGTAATTGGCCTTAAATGCCCTGACTAGCTTCATCTGAGTGTCCCATCCATGCACCTTGCCCATGGGTCCAGAGGTCCCATTTAATCATAGAATCATAGAATCATTAAGGTTGGAAAAGACCTCTAAGATCATCGAGTCCAACCGTCAACCCAACACCACCATGCCCACTAAACCATGTCCCTAAGTGCCGCATCTACATGTCTTTTAAATAC